TACTTTGTAATTCTGTTTTTTGATAAATGAAAATATAAGACATCCCCCGAAAAAAAGCCCTAGTTACTTTGAGGAAAAAAATTGAAATAGGATAAGTCCTTTTTTCGGGGAAACACGGTATAGTTGTACCCAATATTGGTTAAACAAAAACCAACAAATAAAAAAAAAGCAATGAGATAATTTAAAATAACGATACGCCGTTTTATGGTGTATAACTTCAACGGTAATATATGTTACTAAAGTATAGCCTACCTGATAGGTCATTCCGGTATACAAGTTAATTGACTTCCGGAAAGTAGGGACTGCGCGAATGTAAGTTGGCAGCAAACGATAGTGTGTGACGTCATAAATGTTTGCTAATTTCCTATTGTTGCGTTTGCAAATTGCTTGCGCGGCTTTGAAGGTGACGTTCGCCGTTTGGGTTCCAATGGCTCGGAAGCATTTCGAATTATACGAAAAAGGACATTTTTCTGAAATGTATATACAAATAAAGATCTAAAACATTTATTGTTCATGGCCGTCTGTTGGCTATGATAGGTCAGTGTTTTCTTGGGTGTTCGGAAAACGATAGGTCGAAGTGCTCACCGGTACCCAGTCTACCGGTACCAACGTTATATCTAAATTTTGTCGCTATTAATTTTTTTTTTCTCCACTTTCAAATAATGGGCACATAATGACGCTGCTTTGAGAAAACAAATATAAAAAGCAATGGCGATTAACAAATCCATTGCAAGTAAGGAAACCAACATTCCTGTTACTGACTAGCCTGTTCTGTGCGTCCCTAAACTGACAACGAAAATTTACACATCAGAGCCGAAACGGTAAGTTTATAAAATATGATGTTAATAAATATGCAAATCCTATCGTATGTGCATTAATTTGATTGTTTCCATGTCTTGCCCATAAATATATATAGAAGATAACCTAATACAGGACTAGTGAACACAATGATCGATGCATTGCAACAAGTTCAATATTATTGGCAAACCTAATAGGTATTAGATTACATTTACTCAATATATATACGTATTAATAATCTAGACCAGTGGTTACCAATTTTTAGAGGGTAATCTAGACGTTCACTGTTTTAACAATTTCTTTTGTAATCCCCGTACTTTTGACTAGCCTGGGGAAAAGATGGGTATTCAACGTTCGCATCTAGTCAATGCAAAATGCAATAGGTGTTAGTGTTATCACCATTTTCAGTCAAATGTAGTGGGTAATGTATGTTTATAAAATGGGCAATCGAGCTTTTAGTGATTCGATTTAGGAGTAACTATATCAAAAAGTTTGGGAACCACTGTAGTGTAGACTTTTGGATTTGGATGTAAACTTGCGAATTTCTGGACTGTACCAGCCTGTTTGGAAACCACTGGTTTACGCCAATATAGATGAATGATAGAACTGTTATAATAAACCAAATTGATTGATTGGTTACTAGAGCAAGTGTCTAAATGCCAATCTCACCCGCTTCATCTTCCGTTCAATCATTCTGATAATATCTAAATCAAGAAAGGGGTGCTTAGAGATATATATTTACAACATGTCATATAAAAATGTGAGCGTGAAATAAACACAGCAAAATTTTTGGCCCGCCAGAAGTGTGTTTACCAATATGGAGGTAACTAATTTTGTTCGCCTACATCAAATTGTGTTAAGGGACGGAAGTCTATGGGCAGGGGGTATACTCACTTGGCCGACACAGACATTCACCGAACTCGTAATAGAACTAAAATAAGAAAAATCGAAATAAAATTATGGCCTAACCCTAACCTGGTACCCATACTACTGGAGCACCAAATTTTAATGTGCGAAAAATTTTAATACATTGGAAGGGGTTGAGACAAAGTCAAGTTTAGGAAGCCCTGGTTAAGCTACCAACTCGAAGAAGTCTTCGATTTTAAAATCTATGTCGACAAAAATTTTGATTTTGACTCGAGATTAGGAAAAAATTTGACTCCAGCTCTGAGAAGTCTAAAATTCCTATTCCGTAGAGTTCAAAATTTCAACCCCAAGCTTAGGGGAAAATTTGAAAATACGGTGACGACTGCCATATCATTAATAATTGAAGAATAGACAAATAACTCACCAGAACCGTCATTATTCTGCAACAATACAACAATTTAAGTAGGTTCAAGTTAGTCACTCTTTGCTGTGTGGATACGTTTTACGCAAAAGGGGAGAAATGTCATATTGAGAATAATTTGAGACACAGACCAATTCTCACTACAGTCTGCTAAGAATCTACTATAAATTCGGGGTAGCATGAATCATTCTGATTCGGCTAAGCCGCAGGGGTCCCCAACCTTTTTTGGCTCGCGACCCCCTTTGGTGGATTACACATACCTCGCCGACCCCGTCTCACTTTCTATACTTATCAATACAAGAGAGCTACGCACAAATATATGGACACGTTAGACCAGAGCGAATCGGTCCTTACCGGTACCTTTGACGCTACCGGTACCCTCAAAAAAGTTCTGAATTTCCAGTAGCAAGAATTTTGCAGAATCAAAACGTACAGCCAGTCATGACACTGACTAAAATCCGTGTTCCCATGGATAAAAAATAATACAGCAAAATTTTAGACGAAATATCAAATTTCGTAGAATTCACGCAAAATTTTGAAATAAATAAAAGTAATAGCCTTCTAGCGACAAAATTAATCTTTAACCACTGAAAATTTCAAAGCAATTGGTCCAGTATTCGAAGAGAAAAGCGACTTTTTAAAAACGTGTCAAGATACAAGAACAACAACATAATATTGAAACGATCGTTATGTCCACTTCGTGTCCAAAAATAAGTGGCAAAGTGGAGGCGCAGTTCATTTCCACTTCATGGCAGCTGCTGCCACGAACGAGCCGATGACACCTTTTGCCGTGGTTATGACGCTATTGCCGGTATATTCACAAATGCGTGTACCAGATTTTAGTTTGTCATGCGGAATTATATCTACTTAAATCTGAAACCTAACCCCAAATCTTTCAAAACTGTATCCATAAGAATTTTTTTTACTGTATCCAATATTTATCCCATCAGGGGCAGCCTTGCCACTACAGCCGACATGGCATGATTACGGCAGCAAAGTTTTACCCGCCTTTGGTTTTCAATTTTCTGCAATTTGCTGTGGTACCGGCATCTCGCCATTGGTTTGTGGCAGCTAAAAAGTCAATCGCCGTGGGTTTGGCTAAACTTCAATGGTTTGGCCACAGCGACCATGGTTTTGCGGCAGCTTCAGACGCAACAAAATTCTTGAAACTGCACTTGGTAAAGTGAATATTGTGTAATTTAATTTTTCATCAACCTGCATATCTGCGACGGCTGGCATTGAAACCGCGTAGCTAACTGCGTAATTCGGGGTTTAGTTTTTGATAAATCTAGTCTCATATCATCCTCGACTTTCATTCGATTTTTTGCCTTTGTTTTTATATGAAGAAAAGCCGCTTTCATATTTCATAACTTCATTTTCATATTGTCGCTTCTTCGCCATTGTAAATAAAATGACGGGATTATAACGTTGTTGCAGGATGTATGATAATCTTCACGATGAAACAACATAGCCTCCCCTGCAGTAGACAACTTGGTATCGAAATCCCGGCATTCCACAGCATTGCTTCGAAGCCCGCGTGTTTTTTCGCATTACGGTGCGCGAAAATGCAGACGCGTTCGTGTGACGTCACAATGGTTTACATGCCATAAACGTCTCGCGCCGCTTGCTTGGTTTCCAAACAAGAAGCGACATTCTGGGGTCTCACGACAGCTAGGGGGAATATCTCATTCCAGACTTCTTCGTGTTCTATTGACAATATTTAACCTAAAGTTTTGTACTGTTTTGCAAGGCCTTCGCGACCCCCCTAGAAACCCATCCTCGACCCCTCTGGGGGTCGCGACCCCCAGGTTGGGAACCACTGGGCTGAGGCATCCAAATGTGTATTGCATGCCACAAGTTAGGAAAGAGTCTTGAATTAAATGCTAAAATTTACTTGAAATTAAAGAGACTCTGTATATCAACAACTTCTAGGTAAATCTGACTACCAGTTCATGACACACATAGACCTACTGGAGTTAACACTGCATACCTAACAATTTTCCACTGGAACCAACTTGCCTTTGACCAGTTTTCTAACACAAACTCCATCTAAATAAAACAGAATTTGAAAATATATTTAAGGAAGATACGTGCGTGGTAACTCGAAAATAGCCTGATCACTTGATGGCAGTGTTGGGTAGCGTCGGGTTGGGTAGTTATCAAATCTACCCTAGTTATCCTTTCCAAATACTGTACTCGAAGTGACTTGAGTCAGCTAAATGAAACGACAGTCGCTCGACCCAACATTGGAGTGCAATGACTCATTTCGGCTCAGTACTCGAAGTTTAACCGAAGATTTGGTGTTGACTTGCACCCAACACTGCTTATTGGTTCACAAAGGGAATTCTTTGCGTATCTATAATAATATAACGGTGACATTGAATTGAGAATTCGCACATAAACAATGTTGAAACGGATTTCGGCGCGATTCACAAAATCGAATTTTGTAATCATAGAATAGGCACCTTCATCAAACCGGACATTGGGTTAATTAACTTTCTGTCATTAACGATATAAACAATGGCAAAACTAATGCATTTCGGTTTCGGGAAACATGCTTTGAATAGTTTGGGACGTTCTCTCGCATAGTGTTATGAACTCGGTACTTCCGTAGTATGTGTACCAGGTTAGGGTCGGAGCACATTTTATTCCGATTTTTCTTATTTTTGTTATTTTACGAGTTCGGGGACTGTCTGTGTTAGCCAAGTGAATTTCTTCCCCTTGCCCATAGGTTTCAGACATTAAAATAAAAACGACGGGCAGTTGTTTGGTGCATTCACCACTTCGAACAAATGCGTGAATTGAAAAGAGTTGATAATACGGGTCTCTAACAACATCAAAAGTACCGTCGATGTACCAAACTTTTGCATTTGCCAAAATTTTCAATTGCTTTTGGGTTGCGAACAAAAGGTGACGCGCTCCCTCGATTCTGATATCTTTTAATAAAAAATCAATAGGTAAATAATCTATTTTCAACTCATCAATGTCTGATGGATCTGTGGGTCTGTTTCCCTGTCTTTTTCTATTGCAGAACCTCTTCAATGTTCCTTCCTAAAAGGGAAAGGTAGAAAAAAAATTAAGTACACTGAAAATTACTACTGAAATTAGTCGATTAATTACAAAGATAATTACATTAGTGAATATTATAGAAGGCGGGTTGGCCATGTCTCGCCTTGCCGCTTTCGTAATTAATGACTCCACATGCCATGTATGGATTTTCCAACCCGCGCTTCGAAACTGCCCTGTTGAGAAGGACGCGGGGTCGTTCGTTTGGGCTAGGTTCGTGGGTATGGTCCAAATCATTCCGACTGAAATCATCTTCTGTTTGATAAACCCCGGCCGGGCATACATTTCCCTTCCTCCGCACGGAACACCACCAGGTAACTGTAGATAGAAAAAAATAAATTAGAAACATTGCAATTGTTTGTTGAACTGATTCACATGCCATTCTCTGTAAGTCACCACTTCCGTTGAGATTAGCGCGGAGCACAGTGTAGTGTAGGAGTACCCGTACCTCTCATAGAGCTTGGGGTGCTTTCTTTGACTCAGGTCCCCTTCCACTACGAAAGTTGTCTCGGCATTTTCGCTGGATATGCCTCTATGAACAGAAGCCTCTATGGATGACTCCACCACCCCTGAACATCCGATGGGAAATTTAAAAATTCCTTCTGCCTGTAAAAAAGAGCAACAAGTTGACATATAGACTAGGTGCAAAACACTGCTAGGATCTAAATGAGTAATGAGAGAGCATAGTTACCATGGGTATTGTGCTAATATCCGAGCATTCAGAGTAGAGATGTACCGATGTATCGGTATCGGCAATATCGGCCATTTTTTCGGTATCGGCCATGTATCGGTTAGAATAAGGCCGATATTTCCGATATATTTACCTTTTTGATATGGTCCAGAATGTTTTAAAAAATAAGTTGGAATACTACTTTCCAATTTATTTATTTTTTCTGGAGAGATTGTGAGCTATGAGCCATGCATGTCCCCATCCCCGAGAGGAAATAGGATTCATCTGTTTATAGCTATTTATCAGCCAAACTAGCTCAATCAATTTGACTATTTTCGCTGTCGAATTTTTATATTGACATTTTTAATATTACATTGCAATTATGAAGAAATATATCAACAAAAAGCAACTACGTGCCCAGTTTTAAATGATACAGTGAAATTGGAGTCATTATTAACGACACATGCACTTTTGGCACGGCTATAAATTCCGGCTGTTTGTCGTCAAGTGCGACCGCCATTTAGTCCGTCGACAGCGATAAACTAAATTTCGACACAATTATCAGTCTACCAGGTATTAATTTTAATTTTGTTTAGACACAATTTCTTTATAGATATTTTGACATGACCTAGACTAGATTGTCTCAAAATATATGATAGCAATTGTGAAATATTATAAAATAGTAAAGTAAAAAAACATCCTCGAAGGTTGAAGGTAGGCCTTCTACTTGTCTATGCTCATTGTTATTCTTTCATGGTGGCTTTGTTTTATTGCGGCGACGATTACGAATAACCACAAAATAAAATATTTGTAAAATGCTTTTAATTTAACGTAGGACGGTGGCGCTAGAATGTGTGGGCGATATTCGATATTCTTTTAAACACGAATAACGATATTCGAAGGTCGCGATATTAACAATAAATTCGAATTGGACATCCCGGCTTATGATTTTTCTAATTGAACACCGAGATTACTAGCTTCACTGTACGATGTACCTTAACTCTTTTTTCGATCTGAAATAATGTGTACTATGAATAACGCTCAAAGACCATTGTTTTAACCCGTCTGCCCTACACAGTACACTTAATTAAGGTAATAATTACATGGTATCGGAATATCGGTAATATCGGCATTTTTGTAGTATCGGCGCTTTAGGCTGGTATCGGATCGATATCGGCGAAAAAAGTGGTATCGGTACATCTCTAAATCAGAGTCGCAATAATCAGTCATATAATTTTTTGACTTGGAATTTTCTATACTTACTTTTGTGTAGCAGCCTAGACTAAGATAATTACATTAGTGAATATTATAGAAGGCGGGTTGGCCATGTCTCGCCTTGACGCTTTCGTAATTAATGACTCCACATGCCATGTATGGATTTTCCAACCCGCGCTTCGAAACTGCCCTGTTGAGAAGGACGCGGGGTCGTTCGTTTGGGCTAGGTTCGTGGGTATGGTCCAAATCATTCCGACTGAAATCATCTTCTGTTTGATAAACCCCGGCCGGGCATACATTTCCCTTCCTCCGCACGGAACACCACCAGGTAACTGTAGATAGAAAAATTAATTAGAAACATTGCAATTGTTTGTTGAACTGATTCACATGCCATTCTCTGTAAGTCACCACTTCCGTTGAGATTAGCGCGGAGCACAGTGTAGTGTAGGAGTACCCGTACCTCTCATAGAGCTTGGGGTGCTTTCTTTGACTCAGGTCCCCTTCCACTACGAAAGTTGTCTCGGCATTTTCGCTGGATATGCCTCTATGAACAGAAGCCTCTATGGATGACTCCACCACCCCTGAACATCCGATGGGAAATTTAAAAATTCCTTCTGCCTGTAAAAAAGAGCAACAAGTTGACATATAGACTAGGTGCAAAACACTGCTAGGATCTAAATGAGTAATGAGAGAGCATAGTTACCATGGGTATTGTGCTAATATCCGAGCATTCAGAGTAGAGATGTACCGATGTATCGGTATCGGCAATATCGGCCATTTTTTCGGTATCGGCCATGTATCGGTTAGAATAAGGCCGATATTTCCGATATATTTACCTTTTTGATATGGTCCAGAATGTTTTAAAAAATAAGTTGGAATACTACTTTCCAATTTATTTATTTTTTCTGGAGAGATCGTGAGCTATGAGCCATGCATGTCCCCATCCCCGAGAGGAAATAGGATTCATCTGTTTATAGCTATTTATCAGCCAAACTAGCTCAATCAATTTGACTATTTTCGCTGTCGAATTTTTATATTGACATTTTTAATATTACATTGCAATTATGAAGAAATATATCAACAAAAAGCAACTACGTGCCCAGTTTTAAATGATACAGTGAAATTGGAGTCATTATTAACGACACATGCACTTTTGGCACGGCTATAAATTCCGGCTATTTGTCGTCAAGTGCGACTGCCATTTAGTCCGTCGACAGCGATAAACTAAATTTCGACACAATTATCAGTCTACCAGGTATTAATTTTAATTTTGTTTAAACACAATTTCTTTATAGATATTTTGACATGACCTAGACTAGATTGTCTCAAAATATATGATAGCAATTGTGAAATATTATAAAATAGTAAAGTAAAAAAACATCCTCGAAGGTTGAAGGTAGGCCTTCTACTTGTCTATGCTCATTGTTATTCTTTCATGGTGGCTTTGTTTTATTGCGGCGACGATTACGAATAACCACAAAATAAAATATTTGTAAAATGCTTTTAATTTGAACGTAGGACGGTGGCGCTAGAATGTGTGGGCGATATTCGATATTCTTTTAAACACGAATAACGATATTCGAAGGTCGCGATATTAACAATAAATTCGAATTGGACATCCCGGCTTATGATTTTTCTAATTGAACACCGAGATTACTAGCTTCACTGTACGATGTACCTTAACTCTTTTTTCGATCTGAAATAATGTGTACTATGAATAACGCTCAAAGACCATTGTTTTAACCCGTCTGCCCTACACAGTACACTTAATTAAGGTAATAATTACATGGTATCGGAATATCGGTAATATCGGCATTTTTGTAGTATCGGCGCTTTAGGCTGGTATCGGATCGATATCGGCGAAAAAAGTGGTATCGGTACATCTCTAAATCAGAGTCGCAATAATCAGTCATATAATTTTTTGACTTGGAATTTTCTATACTTACTTTTGTGTAGCAGCCTAGACTAAGATAATTACATTAGTGAATATTATAGAAGGCGGGTTGGCCATGTCTCGCCTTGCCGCTTTCGTAATTAATGACTCCACATGCCATGTATGGATTTTCCAACCCGCGCTTCGAAACTGCCCTGTTGAGAAGGACGCGGGGTCGTTCGTTTGGGCTAGGTTCGTGGGTATGGTCCAAATCATTCCGACTGAAATCATCTTCTGTTTGATAAACCCCGGCCGGGCATACATTTCCCTTCCTCCGCACGGAACACCACCAGGTAACTGTAGATAGAAAAAATTAATTAGAAACATTGCAATTGTTTGTTGAACTGATTCACATGCCATTCTCTGTAAGTCACCACTTCCGTTGAGATTAGCGCGGAGCACAGTGTAGTGTAGGAGTACCCGTACCTCTCATAGAGCTTGGGGTGCTTTCTTTGACTCAGGTCCCCTTCCACTACGAAAGTTGTCTCGGCATTTTCGCTGGATATGCCTCTATGAACAGAAGCCTCTATGGATGACTCCACCACCCCTGAACATCCGATGGGAAATTTAAAAATTCCTTCTGCCTGTAAAAAAGAGCAACAAGTTGACATATAGACTAGGTGCAAAACACTGCTAGGATCTAAATGAGTAATGAGAGAGCATAGTTACCATGGGTATTGTGCTAATATCCGAGCATTCAGAGTAGAGATGTACCGATGTATCGGTATCGGCAATATCGGCCATTTTTTCGGTATCGGCCATGTATCGGTTAGAATAAGGCCGATATTTCCGATATATTTACCTTTTTGATATGGTCCAGAATGTTTTAAAAAATAAGTTGGAATACTACTTTCCAATTTATTTATTTTTTCTGGAGAGATCGTGAGCTATGAGCCATGCATGTCCCCATCCCCGAGAGGAAATAGGATTCATCTGTTTATAGCTATTTATCAGCCAAACTAGCTCAATCAATTTGACTATTTTCGCTGTCGAATTTTTATATTGACATTTTTAATATTACATTGCAATTATGAAGAAATATATCAACAAAAAGCAACTACGTGCCCAGTTTTAAATGATACAGTGAAATTGGAGTCATTATTAACGACACATGCACTTTTGGCACGGCTATAAATTCCGGCTATTTGTCGTCAAGTGCGACTGCCATTTAGTCCGTCGACAGCGATAAACTAAATTTCGACACAATTATCAGTCTACCAGGTATTAATTTTAATTTTGTTTAAACACAATTTCTTTATAGATATTTTGACATGACCTAGACTAGATTGTCTCAAAATATATGATAGCAATTGTGAAATATTATAAAATAGTAAAGTAAAAAAACATCCTCGAAGGTTGAAGGTAGGCCTTCTACTTGTCTATGCTCATTGTTATTCTTTCATGGTGGCTTTGTTTTATTGCGGCGACGATTACGAATAACCACAAAATAAAATATTTGTAAAATGCTTTTAATTTGAACGTAGGACGGTGGCGCTAGAATGTGTGGGCGATATTCGATATTCTTTTAAACACGAATAACGATATTCGAAGGTCGCGATATTAACAATAAATTCGAATTGGACATCCCGGCTTATGATTTTTCTAATTGAACACCGAGATTACTAGCTTCACTGTACGATGTACCTTAACTCTTTTTTCGATCTGAAATAATGTGTACTATGAATAACGCTCAAAGACCATTGTTTTAACCCGTCTGCCCTACACAGTACACTTAATTAAGGTAATAATTACATGGTATCGGAATATCGGTAATATCGGCATTTTTGTAGTATCGGCGCTTTAGGCTGGTATCGGATCGATATCGGCGAAAAAAGTGGTATCGGTACATCTCTAAATCAGAGT